GTTTGTAACAGGTGACATTTCACAGAGAAATTCAGCCTGTATGATGCTGCGAGTGACAGAGAAGTGAATTTGCAAGAAAAATACTATGAAATAATTGTTATTTTAATGCAAAATACAGTTTAATAGCTGGTAAAAAATAAAAGCCAGTAATTCACACCCCACAGATTTTGAACTCCACTGGAATTTTGCTTTGCTACTGCACAGGTTGAAGGCCTTTGCACTTAAGATAAGCATTGTGTGTGTGTGTGTGTGTGTGTGTTTATGCGGGTTCAGAGAGAGAGAGAGAGCGAGCGAGAGAGTGGGGTGAGACTGAGACGGCAAGAGAGTGTGAGAGAGAATCAGGTTGTTTTCGTTCTCACACACACATTTGGTATTACTTGGAGGAATCCGAGAAAAGACATGTGGATTGCAGAATGAGCTTCCCGTGGTGAGCAGCTTCACAGTGATAACTTTGATCAATTCTCTATCGCACAACGCAGCAGATGCACATTCTCAGCCGGTTACCCATTTTTATTAATGCTGTCTTTTTCGCTTGTTTTCTGTTTGTGGTTGCATTTTAATTCCTTCGTAGAACAAATACTTGGCTTTCTATCTGCTTTTACAAAATGCAGTGTTTGTTTCCTGTACAAGAATCCACTTTGCACTTTAACCAGCAGTGAATCATTAACACAGAAGCAACACTTGCAATGCAAATTGTCTTAATGCTTACTAAATTCATCAAATAGGTTAAGCCTACAGTACAACATCTACTTTATTTAATATACTTTTTTTTTTATTTCGCTTTATTTGTATTTAATATAGACTAGTTTATGAACATCTAGGATGGCTTGTGAATGGACCTAATTGCAAATGTTTGCGGGTTTTCACGGTGTAAACTTTCTGTCGTTTGAGTAAATGCCATCAAGATAGAGGTTTGCATCTGGGCTGCGGTGTGGTAGTAGAGCATGTGATCTTAACACATTAGAGCTGTGGTGATCAAGCAGGTGGTACAGATTCAAGCCCAGCCAGTGACCTGATCTCATTCTATCTCTCTTTCTCCCTCGTATTTTTTTCCTGTCCCCTCTTCACTGTACTACTTTAATAAAGATAGAAAAGCTGAAGGCTTTGGAATATTGACATTATTTGGCAAATTAGATTAGATTAAACCGAATAAAAATGTTTTCATAAATTTCCACCAGCAAAGATTTGACTGTTTCTGGATTTTGTACCCTAACCAGGCTTTCTCATTTGTGCCCACATACCAGAGGCGAGCTCTGCCTTGCCCCAAAAGCCCGGAACACACCAAGCGGACGGTTGACCGCCAGGCAGTTTTTGTTCATCGGCTGACTTAAGTTTTCTCAGTGTGTTCGGCACGTTGATTGAAGTTGGTCCTCGTCTGCATTTTTTCGGCTGATTCGACATGTTGAATCGTCAGAGCTCGTCGGTCAGTCGGGCCATCTGATCATTCTGATTGGCTGTTCAGCTGGCGAACCAGTGCACAAGAAAAAACGCAGAACGTACGTGCTACTTGGCCGTCGGGTGTCGAGCGTCGGCTTGGTGTGTCAGGGCAACTTTGGACCCAGACACTGCCAACGTGAGCCGACCCCGCATTCTGCTTTCGTCGCCACTAGTTCGTCGGCTTGGTGTGTTCCGGGCTAAGTGAGAAATAAGTTGTCAAAAGGGCTTGTTAATAAATTTCAAGGTATAGTTCACCCAAAAAGGAAAATTCAATGAAAAATTTAAAATAATTAACTCAAATGTTTTTCCAAACCTGTATGACTTTCTTGCTTCTGTGGAACATAAAAGAAGATATTTTGAGAATTTTCTCAGTTCAAACGAAAACTATTGGTTACCAACATTCATTTGGAACCGCATTAGGGTGAGTAAATGATGACAATTTTTTGTGTGTGAACTATGCTTTTATAATGAAGATCTTTCTGACTTAGGCCTCGTCCACACGGAGACGCGTTTAGCTGTATACGCATACATTTTGTATCGTATAGGCGTTTCGTCCACACGGATCCGGTGTTTTGGGAGATTTTATAAATATAACCATATTTTTTTAAACCAGGTCCCAGAGTGGATAAATCCACTGCAAAAAACTGTCAGTGTGACAGTAAAAAATATTGCCTTTCATCGTTTTCCCAAAGACCCTGACAGGTAATTATTCTCAAAAGTGTAAAAATATTGTGTTTTGAAGTGGGACGTTGGACTGTCTTATGCACCTGCTAACTTTTAACTGTTTTTAGTCTAGTAGAAAACTTAAATCTTTTTAGAAACTGCAGGTCCTATAGAAACCATAATAATGATTTATATGGATATGACACCAAGTAATGAGCTTATGCAACTTTACACATTTACAATTACTATATTATTATTTACGATTACTCCACTAGGTCTGAAATATATATTGTATGTTTTAATCCCATGAACACACTACAAAAATGATGATCTAGATTAGAACATGATGCATTGCTGTGTCTCTGTTATAATTAAATAATTAAACAATTTTGGAGAAAGTGGCTGTACATGTTTTGTTTTAACGGAATTTAATGCAATACTGCAAAAACAGTTTACTGTCAAGCTGTTATATTCCTGTTATATATTTATTGTCCAACATTCCTAATTTTTCTGTCATTCATTTAATTTCATATGTTGGTATTAATTCAGTGTTTATAATGCTAACACTTGAACTTTAAATATTTTCAACCGAAACTGACATGGTTTCTAGAGAGCAAAATGTTTTGTGAAAAAAAGGGAAGACTTTAAAATAAACTATTAAAAGTATTTGATGATCACTAGTCTAGTGATTGTATGTTATTGTTGTCATCGTTCAGTCTATATTTCAGCTTTAATGTACGTTTTTTTAAACAAAGCAGCTGATATTTGCCATAGCGACAGCTAGAATCTAGTGGACTGCTGAGTCGCTTTCACCCCAAAATGTCGCAGGGTTGCTGCTGGGCGCCGCTATTGCGGTGGAACGTTCTACAGAGTTTCGCCTCTTGGTCTTCTATACTCTTTGCTAGGCATGCTAGAAACTTCCAGGCAGGTGTGTTGAGGCAAGTTGGAGCTAAACTGTGCAGGACACCGACCCTCCAGGACCGAATTTGGAGACCCCTGTGCTAATGCTTTGATAGAATTATTATTCATACTGGTTAGAATAACCAGTTGCTTCAAGAGTTTAGTGGTGACTAAGACAACCGCAACCAATTGGATTACATTCTCGTGTATCCCATTGCAATCCGTGACTGGAATTTAAAGTGACCGTTAAGTTGTTTAGAATGCAGTTTACAGTGTGCTTCTAACAAAAATTGGGTTGAAAAGATACATCTTCGACAACTCAAGTCCAGTAGTCTGAGAAAAACAGAGAATGAAAATGTCCCAGCAGGACAGTCTCTCTTTTTTCCTTTCTTCTCACCTACCACCAGTAGCTCATTCAGCATCACCACCCCTCAGCTGTGACCCCCATGACTCTCTCTTACTGCCTTTCACCCCTAACAACCGTGGCCCCCCTCTTGCATGACTCAAAAGCGGCTGTAACTGGATCCAGCCTCAGAGCCTTGGCCATGACGTCACCTAGTGCTGCCTTTAGAGAACCGGGGCCCCTCTCTTTTTCCGAGATCAGATATCCATGGCTTTGTGTCTGTGCTGTCAGCTCTTAAATGTTGAGGTTACTCGCGAGCATTGTCTGCCTGTTTTCCAGCTGATCCAAGGTCAGTTTTTTTTTTTTTTTTTAACTATGTAAAAAGCATTTTACAACTTTGTTTTGGAGAGTTTTATGTTTAGCTGAAAGTGGCAGAAAGATTTAGTCTGTTTCTTCATGCCTTATTTGTATTTATTTAGGTTTTATAGGACTTACAATAATTCTCACAATAAAAATGGTAGACAAAATGATATTTTATCTTGTGAATACTTTAAGTGCCCCTATTATGGATTTTTGAAAATTACCTTTCATGCATGTTGATTTGTGTGCAGATGCTAATGCAGTTAGCCTTGGCTATAGTGTGTGTGTGTGTGTGTGTGTTTTCTTTTCCCTATTCTACAAAGAATATCTATACTTTTTTCTGTTCTACAACCTCTGCATTTTGCATTAGATATGCTGGGGAGTCTTAAATGGGCTTTTCCATTTATAGCTGTCAGCCAACATTCCCAAGCTAGCACACTCATTTGGCAAGCATCCCCTGTTTCATAACCATACTCAGTTGTTAATTCTAAATACTTGACTTTAAAGTCTAAAATAGACTCTAAAATAGACTGTTGTTTAGAACTGTATTAATGTCTGGAACAAACATGCCACCCAGTGTTTTTTTCCCGTCAGGCAAAAAGGAGTGCTGGGACCAGTTTAGCCACAGATAACTGCTAATGCTGCCAAAAATACAACTTTAATGTCAACATAAAAATGTCAGTGCCAAAAGTTTGCCAGCAGTGATATCACTAATGTTTCTCCATAGAATGGATGGAAGTCTATTTTCTGTTTGCTGGCACCATGCCCTCATTCTGCCCCAAAAATCTGTTTGCCATTCAGTTCACTGATTATCAACTTCTTTGAAATTGGATGAAAAGCTGACATAAACCAAGTTGTGTGACTGTTATTGTGTTTCTTAATGCGATGGCTTCTCTTATCGCTGCTCCATCTGTACACCAAAACTTCCTGTAAGGAAATACAGCTTCTACCTTTAAACTGTATTAATATAGAGCGGGTGGTATTAATTAAAGTCTTATATCACAGTACGTCACAGTCTTGGTAATAGTATGTATCACATTATAGATCTTTTTGCTGGAAATTCAACAGAAAACTGTTTATATATATTAAATAACCCTGTGAAAAATCTTTCTCTTATTTGACACTTTATCCAAAAGATAATATTATTATTAAAACAAAATACAAATGCAAAATTACACTGCTTCACATTGTACAACACTTTAGTTAAAAACAGAATAATAAAAATAATAATATAAAATGGATTTGCAACAGCCTTTACTTCTGTAATAACTATTCTCTGCCATGGCTGTCTTTCCAGGTTGTTGGAGACGGACAGTAAGACTTTACGGTCTGTGAATGGCTCTCGAAGGAACAGTGGCTCCTCACTGGTGTCTAGTTCATCAGCCTCCTCCAACTTGTCACATTTGGAGGAGGATTCGTGGATCCTGTGGGGACGCATCGTCAATGAGTGGGAAGATGTGCGGAAGAAGAAGGAAAAGCAACTAAAGGTAAGCAGATAGATTATGCATCAAGCACTGTGGGCAAATCAGATGTATGCCACTTATTACTGAACATAAGGGTTTTCAGATATCATTATTTTATTTAATCACAACAGTACACAATAAATAAACATTTTATTGACATTTAGAGCAAAGCTGGAGCAACATCAATTATCGTGCACAAGCACACAGCTAATCAGATTTATTGCTGTTATAAGGTAGTGAAACACATTACAAAGAAGGTCATAAAACATACAACCCATTTAAAATATGTGCATGATTTACTGGTAGTGCTACTGTGTTCATGAATAAAGAAAATGGTAAATGTGCAGTGCCATTGCTGACTGAGGATACAGAGAGAGAAAGGATTATATTTTACTGATGACAGTCAGCTTAAAAGTTCGATATTAAATAGCATTTCTAGAGCAATTGTAATGATAGATTTGAATAATGAATATTCGGAATTTGGTATGCAAAATAAGAGTAAAAAAAAATAAAACATGGTGTGGGATGGGAAATGGTTTATAAGCTTCATAGTGAACCTAGCATATATTGTTTGTTCCTGGGTATGTAGCAACTTCAGCTGAAATATGATAATAAAATACAGTGGGGGAAAAATACCTATGATGAAAATTACAGGCCTCTCTCATCTTTTTAAGTGGGAGAACTTGCACAATTGGTGGCTGACTAAATACTTTTTTGCCCCACTGTATATATATTAGTGCTGTCAAAATTAGCGCGTTAACAAAATATTTAACACCGTTAACGCAGGGGCGGGGCTACGGTTGGCCACCTCACTCACAACTGCTGCTCTCTTTTTTCGTGACCAGAACCATCGTTTATTTAAACGCAGAACGTCTTTATGACCACATAAAATGGGAGATGTTTCAGACAAATGCTCCAGCGACAGGCGCGAGTCACACGAGCGCGGAAAATAAATAACTTTTGTAGCTTTAAGTATTCATTCATCTGTATTTAATTTAGAATTTATTGTTCGATAACTTGCTGAAGGGCACAGGTAAATATGACATTATAACAGGTTTATGTGAAGATTGTTTTAAGTTCACTTAAATTAGAAGTTATTTTAAGTAGTCTAATAAATGTTAAAAATTGATAACTTTGTAATGTTGAATGGCTAATCAATGGTTAAATATTAGGGGGAAAAACTATTTCATAGACATCAGAGTGATACTGGCCTTCAGTCATAAAAAAGATGCCATTATACAAATATAAAAAATATAATGTCTTTGTTGTTTCTACATTAATTTGAAGATTGAATGTGAAATTATTGCAATGTAAAAGTATTTTAAAAAAACGTTAATGTTAGGTGGAATTAATTGTGATTAATAACGATTAATTTCAGAAAAGAAAATGCGATTAATTAGTTAATTATTTTTAATCGATTGACAGCACTAATATATATATATATATATATATATATATATATGTATATGTATATGTATATGTATATTTATAGTTATATATCTCATACTATTCAAAACTATTCAACTTTCTCTTTCCAAAACATTCCTTTACCAACTACACAGGAGCTTCGCCTTCTGAAATATTTTCCATTTCCTCCTAAAATAACACTTCTGCAGTGTTTTACATATCCCGCTCTCACAATAACATTTCCCAAGAAACAATGGGAAAGACAAAATGATATAAACCTCTTAAGCAAATTTCATGGTTGTCAACTTTCCCACACAACATATTGAAAACAGTGAGACAAAGTAAATGCAGTTTGTGTTAAATGTATGACCTCTTAAGAGCCAAAGAGGAGGATCTCAGGCTCTTCTAGTAAAGCGGGAACAGAAATCTTTTGTACAACCTGGTATTCTAACAAAGACACATCTCTAGCACACCCCTAGAGTGCTTTTGAAGAATCTCAGTGCTGACAGTTCATGTAGGTGGACTCTTATCTCAGAACCTCACAGGAATCAGCCATCTGAGACCATCTACTACTGTGTAGATGAGCACAGGAAACTGCTTAATCGGGTCAAACATAATTTGGTTACAAAAACATAGAGCTATGCTGTAGAAATATCTGACAAGGTTTTATTTAGCAGCATAAAATTGTCTTATCCTGTCTGAAGTACCAACTAAACCCCCTGGAGAACAGCTGAATGCTGACAATCTTGGAACCTTGAGTAATTGTAATGTGTAATCCTTCAAATAAACTAGCATCTTCCACAACCCTGTAGATTTGCAGCATGTGTACTGGCTCTTAAGTTCAATCCTCCTGACTTTCAGTGTTAATATTTAAATCAGTGGTTTTTTTATTTTTTTTATTCTTAGGAACTGGTTAGGAAAGGCATTCCACATCACTTCCGAGCAATCGTGTGGCAGCTGTTGTGCAGTGCCCAGAATCTAGCCATAAAGGAGCAGTATTCTGAGTTGCTGAAGATGACCTCGCCTTGTGAAAAACTCATCCGCAGGGACATTGCCCGTACCTACCCCGAGCATGAGTTCTTTAAGGAGGACAGCCTGGGTCAGGAGGTGCTCTTTAATGTTATGAAGGTAGGTTATTAGGCACTTTTATTTAAGGCAACAATATATTTAATATCATCTTAGGACAAAGTAGTTATAGTTCATAGTTAGTTAGTTATAGGTGTAGTTCATGAAGACTATAAACCTCCAGATCTTTAACCTGTACACCACCTGACATCAGTTTTTGTTTACACCAGGAAAAAACCTAAAGGTCACTGAAGTTTTATTTTTTATTTTTTATAGATGAGTAGCACAAAGGCTTGTATGGGGGAATAACCGATCCAGTTCTGCTCTTAACTCAGCAATGATTTTATAACTATAACTTTTGTTTACAGGCTTATTCCCTGGTTGATAGAGAGGTGGGCTACTGCCAGGGAAGTGCTTTCATTGTCGGCCTTCTTCTAATGCAGGTATTAGCACAGGCAAAAAATATTCTTCCTATAAATCACTTTTATTTTGAAAACAAATGTAACATTTTTATTGCATAATAATAATAATAATAGAACAGTTATTACATAATAATTATTATTACTATTTTACAGCCAGTGATAGTGTGATGTATAATTGTTGCCGTCTCGCAGATGCCAGAAGAAGAGGCTTTCTGTGTGTTTGTGAAACTGATGCAGGATTACAGACTGAGAGAGCTCTTTAAACCCAGTATGGCTGAACTTGGCCTCTGCATGTACCAGTTTGAATATATGATTCAGGTCAGTGACTGTCTGCCGAAATCAGATTTTAATTTGCTCCTCATAAATCTATCAAGCTTAGCTTACTGCTTATGTCCATTGCATACTAAATTAAATTACTATGCTTTATGAATCATAACCATAGCTATTGCTTTCTCCTGGTGATTTTACAGTCTTTTTTGGTTTCTCCTTGCAGGAGCAGCTCCCAGAGCTCCATGTGCACTTCCAGGCCCAGAGTTTCCACACCTCCATGTATGCTTCATCTTGGTTCCTCACCATCTTTCTTACCTCTTTTCCTCTTCCTGTCGCCACCAGGATCTTTGATATATTCATGTGTGAGGTAAGACTAAATGGTTATCATTCTTTCTCTCTGCCTCTCATTTTTATGTAGTCATGTGTTTTGCATGCTAAGCTAATTTGAGAATACAACACACTGATGGATTTCAGTGGTCTGCTATTGCCCTCTGTTGGCTCTTTATTGCTGCTGCAAATATTTTTGGATCTTGAGTTTTCACCAGTAGGTGTGTCCTTACAGGGTTTAGAGATAGTGTTTCGCGTGGGGATGGCCATCCTGCAGATGAATCAAGCTGAGCTCATGCAGTTGGACATGGAGGGAATGTTGCAGGTGGGGTATTTATTAACATTTTATTCTCAAGGATAAGCTCACATTTAACTTAATTATAGCTGCTATGCTAGCTGATACTTGTCTCTGTGGAAGCTATCACACCACGGTTAGAGTCTAGGGTTCTAAGTAAATGAATTCGTTTTACAAATATACAATTATTCTTTTAAGCAAAATACAAAAGTTCTTTAAATTTCTTTGAGTAACCATTGGTTTGCAGATAACTGAAAACCTGTTTCAAATATTAAAACATTAATGTTTGTGTAAATTTACTGTTTAAATTTTTTTTTTTTTTTTTTTTTTTTTTTTTTACTTTGGAATAAGTTTTTTTTTATGTATTTGAAAGAAGTCTGTTCTGCTTAAGCCTACATTTTTCATTTGATTGAAGTAAAAACAGTGATATTGTGAAATATTATTACAATGTAAAAGAACTGTTTTTTATTTCAATATGTATTAAAATGTTTTTTTTTTTTCTGTTATGGCAAAGCTGAATTTTGAGCAGTCAGTACCCCAGTTAAAACAGCTGCTTGAGATTTTTTGTGGAACCTGTTATATATCTTTTTAGGATTCTTTGATGAATAGAAAAATCTAATAAATGGCATCCTTGCTAAATAAAATATATATATATATTTTTTTTTTACTACTTAAAAAAAAAAAAAAGTATTTCTTACTGCAAACTTTTGAATGGCAGTGTATCATGGTTTCCACAAAAATATTAAGCAAACCATTTTCAACATTAATAATAGTAAGAAATGTTTCTTGAGCACCAAATCAGCATATTAGAATGGTTTCTGAAGTATCATGTGCCACTGAAGACTGGAATAATGCCTGCTGTAAATTCAGCTTTGCCAACACAGGAATAAATAGTAGTGTATATAATAATAATAATAATAATAATAATAATAATAACAAAACTAATAATAATTATTATTATTAAACATTAATATTATAGTTTTGATATTTTTACTCTGCAGCACTTTCAGAAGGTCATCCCGCACCAGCTGGATAGTGGACCAGACAAAGTCATTCAGGCTGCTTATCAAGTCAAGTACAATGCCAAGAAAATGAAAAAGTGAGTGTAAATGATGTAACATGATTTTTATTTTATTTTTATTTTTTTAAGTATGTTTTTGGACATAGACGATTGCTGAACCGTTTCTTTATGCCTTCTCAGATTGGAAAAGGAGTACACTACAATCAAAACCAAAGAGATGGAGGAACAGGTGGAGATCAAGGTGAGACAGACGTCCCACTCCTAAGTGCATTTTGCTTAAATTATGCCTTTCTGAATATTTTTGCCACTCTTCTTAGTATTGTTATTCATATTAGTATGCACTTATGGACACTGTTAAACTCACCTTTAATTGACGCTTTATATCATACGGATTGTGTCAAAGCAGCTTTACAGTGTTAAACAGGAAAATAGTGTGTCGATAATGCAAGAGGACAATAGTAGACAGTCTATTAGGGCTGCACGATAAATCGCATGCGATATTTAATGCGCATCTTGTCAATAAAGCCAGCTCTGTAATCAGCGGTAAATCTCCATCACGTGCGTGCGTTCACATTGAGCAGCATTTACTACACAGAGCCGTCGTTCACTGACGAGCTGTGAAAAACCACGATCATATTTTGCGCAGCTTGTCAGTGAACAACAACTCTTTGTAGTAAAGCAGCCCTACAGTCTATGAACAATAGCTCATAGACTTTGATGCATGTCCACTGTTATTAACATTGTAAATGTAGTTTTGAATATATATTATTTTATTTAATTAATGTGCATTTATAGCACTCTTCTTGGCATCAAGTTGCAAAAAATCTGCAGTGAGTGTATTCTAAATTTGATATTTTTCTCTCTTCTGAGGGTAATCAATCTGTCTATATTTCTTCCATTTTTGGGAAGTTGTGGATAGTATGGATTATTTTCTTTTCCTATTGAAGCACATGGGAACATATAAATAATGCTTGCTGTAGTTTTCCATTCACCACTGTAGACGTTTACTAAACTTTGAGAATCCCCAAAATGTGAAAAAAGTCCATTGACCACAAATATCCCTTATTTTCTCAATCCATTTTATAGTAGTAAATATTTCAATAAATACTATTAACTTAATCAAAACCCAAACTAAACAATAATGTTGCAGATATAGTTCATAGCATATAGTAGTTTGTAATAATGTATTGATGTATTACAGTCTAACATTGTTCATCTTCACACACTATTACAGAGACTGCGCACAGAGAACAGACTCCTGAAGCAGCGAATAGACACTCTGGAGAAAGTGAGTTATAAATAAGATGCAAAGCACATCATTCAAACACATCTATACACCATTATGTCATCCCATATTTGCTTATCGTGAATTGATTCATGGCTCTCCTTGTTGTCAGTTATTCTTTGGCATCTCCTTGGTATCATCAATAACAAATGTTTGAACCCACCCCATTGGGTATATCATAACTGACTTGTTTGCATGTCATTGGAAAACTTGTTGTGTTTTTTGAGGCTGGTAAGTACTGCGGTAACACAAAAAAAATCACTCTATTGGGTGTGCACATGGGTATGAAATGCTTGTCTTCATATACTAATTTCAGGCCAAAGTGGCTATCTGACAGGCTGTCTTTTGAGCTACCACCTGCAGTGGTGCATGTTGGACTATTCTGTGCTTATGTCATGCATGAAAAAGAAAGCCCATGTTGCAGATCAGTAAAAAAAAAAAACTCACCTATTCACCTTCCATCACCTCCCCGCATGGAACCTTTGTACTCAAATAAAGTACTAACTCAAATACCTTCAGAAGTTCCACATTTGTAACCCATGGCCGCGTTTGGCACACAAATATGGTAGAGCCACAGGCTTTAAAATGGCACCAATTTCTGTTGTATTCTCACCCTACTGATGCTCACACTGTCCTCTGCTTGACCTCTTTTTGCACTTTTCACCCTGTTGTGGTGTCACAATCTTGCTTTATTTCATAACCACAGCATGAACACCATGTTCAAACCATGTTCCTTTTCTACCCCACCTCACTATGACTGTTTTAAAGCTGCATTTACGCTTACTTAGTAAATGTTCATCTAAAACAGTGTCTTTGCAATGTTTTAATGTAGGGGTATGAAAAAGAACACTGTTTTCTGTCAGATCAGTCTTATTTTGTTCTGTGTTGTTAATGTCCTTTGGTCTTTCTCTTCTCTTTGCTTTTTTCCTTTATGGATTTTCTCTGTTTTTAGGAAAGTGCTTCTTTGGCAGATAGATTGATACAGGTACAATTTTCACTCTCCTCTACACCATTGAGCTCTGTCTTTCCTCTTTAAGAACCCATCAGTTCTATCTTTAGCTTAATTTCCTTGATTTGCTGAAATATCTCACACCTACTCACAATCAAGAGTAAAATAAGGCAAATGCTGCGATTTCTCACTTTAGGGAAAAGGCATCACTGTACTTATTATCTTTGGGCTGCAGTTCTGATAATTGGTGGAATACTTAATTAATCCCCCCTTTGATAGTTAAATCGAAAAGTGCTAAATCGAAACCTAAAACTGCTAACAGCATGACAGAGCTTGAGATCCAGCATTATTTTTCTCCATCCATACGTCCATTTCCACCGATTCTCCGCTCACCCCTCATCCATAATTGGTCACGTCAGGGTCAGGTGACACGAGCCCAAGAGGCAGAGGAGAACTACCTGGTCAAACGGGAGCTGGCCACGGTCAAACAACACAATGAGGAGACCAGCGCACTGCTGGAGCAAGCGCAAAACAACATCCGACAGCTCCAGCAACAGCAGCCGTTTGCGGTAAGGACAGTTCAGAGACAGTGGCTCCTCCTGGATGAGAGGCCTGCTCTACGAACACAGAAACCATATGAAAACACGAAAAATGTTTTGCTCCACATCAACGGTAGCAGCCGTTCTTGATTCATTTGGCGTTGCCTAGCAACAAAATCTCAGCGACCACAGAGCGGCGAACGACAGCTCTTGTAATGATGCTCTTTACATGCATGACTGCAGATCAGAACAGCAGAGCTGAGGTCATTTGCATGCACAACAGTGCCAAATGGGGCTTATGTATATGTAAGAGTTTGTCAAATATGAGTGTAACTTAAGCAAAGAGTCTTGAGTCACCACCATCTGTTTAATAAAATCTACACTCACAGCGGAAGGGCAGAATATGGCTCATCAATAATTAATGAGCACATGCTCAACACAGAGAAAAAGCAGATAATGTGTAATTTTCTGTGGGGAAAGTGCTGTTTTACATAATGTTGTGTTGCAATTTCATTATGTTTTAATGTAGCTGTTGGTAAAACTAGTGGAGAGAAGTTTTTTTTTTTAATATAATCTGAAGCTTGGATGAAACGTGTGGTTATATAATTGGTCAGATCAAACCACAAGAGCTGTTCAGATGTTATGTCCATAAGTATTCATTGCTAACACTGACTGGTTGACTTTTGATTGACAGAATTTTTGGTCACACAATTTCTTTGTTTTTCAATTTAGAAGGGGAACCCACGCTACTCTGAGGAGTTCATCCTGCAGCTGGAGAGGGAACTGGTACAGGCCCGCCTTCAAGAGGCAGAGTCTCAGTGCGCATTGAAAGAGATGCAGGACAAGATTCTCGACATGGAGAAGGTGGAATAACTTTATAAATTTTCTCAAGCACACATACTCACCCATTGGCAGTTGTGGTTTTCAACCATAGTGGTGCTGGTACACGTGTTAGTGTTCAGTCAAGTTCTTCAAACAGGCTACTTAGTTACATAACCTGCTCATGAATACAGATTTTTCATTATGCATGATGCAAGTTTTGAGAATATATTTTAACATCCTGAATTGAATTCAGTGTCTTGATGCCATCACAAGCTTTTTTAATCTGTCTATTGATTAAAAAAAAAATATATCCATCTCTTTAGATGGACAGGGACAATGTGGTTGGTGTTGCTGTGCTGCATTAAAGTGTGCATTAAATTGATAAAATGACCCAGTTGAGACTAGAGGTTGACCGATGTATCTGTTTTGCCGATTAATCGGCACCGATAGTTTTTTTTGCTGGAACTATCGGTTATCGGCAAAAATCCATGCCGATAGTTTTCCGGGTTGCGTCCGTTGCTGGAACGGCTGAGAAGGGTCTGCTGTCATTATACAGTACGAGAGCGGCCTCTAGTGGTTGAAATCACTGACAGCACATGCTATTTGTTTAAACACGTGATACTGCACGCTGAACAGAGCGGGAAACTTCAGACGCGGATTTAAATGCAGCCGACAGAAAATCCTGCCGTGCCACAGAGCGCCATTCACATAGTTTTCCATTAAATTACATTATATTTGTCCTGAATTGTTGTTAATGCTTCATTTATAGAGCTATAATATAGATCGCGCTTTCTCTTTCCGTTTGCTCCATTTTTTTAAACACCGAACTTCAAACTCATCTATGCCTCATTGTTCGTTCATTCTTGAAGTAAACTTGTGTCCGTTTGGTGGTTAAATAAACTGTTTTAGACCGCTGCTCGAATTGAACGCGATGCGTCCGGAGTGTGTGTGATACCGGTGAGTTCTCCTAGACTCAGCACTGCGCTTATATTTTGATTAGGTAATCATCAAGTGTTCAAGAATAGAAGTTAAAGTGTGAGAGTATACATACAATATCCATTTGTATATAATTTTAATGCTATGGCCTTTGTGTATATACTTAAAGATGTGCATCTTTAAGCATGACTGTTGAAATGAAATTGTAACTAAATTTTATAAGAGTCCATTTGTAACATTAAGCTGCGCTTTTATTTTGATTAGATAATCATCAAGTGTTCAAGAATAGAAGCAGTTAAAGCATGAGAGTATACATACAATATCCATATGTATATCATTTTAATGCTATAGCCTTTGTGTATATATTTAAAGATGTACTTTGTGTATATATTTAAAGATGTGCATCTTTAAGCATGACTATTGAAATGAAATGGTAACACTTTAAAATAAGAGTCCAGTTGTAGCATTACGATTAATGAAAGCTGTGTAATGAAAGTATTGCTCCTTGTTAGAGTGTGTTAATTTCAAAATTTTTATTATTATTATTAGTACTACTACTACTAGTATGGTTCAGTACTGTTCTTTTAATAAAGCATTATTTTAGTTTTTGTTCAGTATCCATTTTAAAAACTATAGGTTATTTAATCGGTATCGGCCAGTGTGGTCCAACCTAGCTATCGGTATCGGCAAAATCCACTATCGGTCGACCTCTAGTAGAGACCCTTTACATTGTTGCCAGAAATTCTATTTCACATATATACAGTATATATATATATATATATATATATATTAGGGATGCACCAATACTGAGCTGATCGGGCCGATACTGGTCTCCTGTACTCGTTAAAATGCCAAACGCCGAAACGCCGATACCACACAGCATGTGATAAGCGCCATATTCAGACAGAAACATCCACAACAGACAGCAGAATGGAGTTAAGGATGTCTACTATGAAGTATATGTATGCAATGAATATAACGTTAAACATTCAGTATTAACTCCTGTATAGCTGATGTGCGCGAGCTGATAAACAAAGCACGCTGAGTGGATTGAGCGCGCGGCGGTTATAACGAGTGGTTCCCTGCATTATTACAGCAAAGCGCATGATTACAGTACTAAGCCGCTGCAATGGAGCAGCTCTAATGCTATTAAATTAAAGATGATGTACCACAGAGCAAAACAGTGAAAGTAACAAAAACTTGTAAAATACATTTTAATGGGCATAATTAAGTGTGAAAATAACCGAAGGATATACAGTGAAACCAAAAATTATTCAGAGACCAGATATAATGCAGGACACTATAGTTCATTTATGTAAGTGAGGATCGCAAAATAAAGTAAACTGTGACAAATTATACCCAAAAATTCTTCATATAGTGGACTACAAGTAAAACTGATACAAATTTGGGAGCAAAAATGATTCAGACTATCAAGCTGAATTTGTTCTGACACAGTGTAACTCTGAGTTCTTGTCATATTTTATTACCATTTTCTAAACTATAGAGAATAAACTGTGATGATGTGAGAAATGTTGAAGGTGTCTGAATAAATTTTGGTTTGACTCCATCTATTTGATAAATGAAGTTAATCAACTAACATTATACATACTCTTTTGGTTTCTGTACCCAATATTACATTTTTGTTTTACAAATGCAATAAAAAATATTGGTATCGGTACTCTGTATCGTAATAATTTTTAAAATTTTGAAATGAAATGCAGCCTTGGTGAGCATAAGAGGCTTCTTTCAAAATCTCACTGACCCAAAAATTTTGAACAATGGTATAAACTTTTTCTAGCATAGACCACTTCAGTGATTTTAATGAGAGTGATCTTTACTTGGTGCAGACATTAACCCAAACCCAGTAACCTATGAAGTTAGCAGCTACTTGAGACAAGGATGTTTGGGGTCAGAGTTTGTTTCTATGGAATGATTCCAGGTCGGGCATCAGCTCCAGCACCCTGCCTGTGGAAAACTGCTTTCTGTTCATTATGTTATACAAGCACTCACTGTGCTTACTCTGTCCTTACTCTTTTGTCTATATTTTTCTCCGTTTCAGAGAAACTCATCCCTGCCAGATGAGAATAATGTGGTGCGTCTTCGGGAGGAGCTAATTGGTGTAAAGTTGAGGGAGGCAGAAGCTCTAACAGGCCTTAAAGAGCTTAGACAGCAGGTCAGAGACCTGGAGGAGCACTGGCAGGTAAATACTTGCACTCAAATAGACAGCTGTTTCATTCACAGTTTGAGAATGTGTGTATTAGCGTGTGTGTGTGTGTGTGTGTGTGTAAGCTGTACAGTGTTGCATTTTCACCATGTGCTGTTTTCATGCTTCTGTTTAACTTACAAATGTTTGAGTGAGGTATTTTGGTGTTGTGTGCAGAGGCATCTGGCGCGCACAGCGGGCCGCTGGAAAGACAGTCCGAGGAAGAATGCAGCAAGCGAGCTTCAGGATGAGCTGATGAGTGTGAGGCTCAGAGAGGCAGAGGCACAGGCTGAGCTTAGAGAAATCAGACAGAGGATGCTGGAACTGGAAACCCAGGTCTCATTCGCATGCTTGCTCATCTTTGTAGTATAGAGTGTTGGGAGTTCATGAGAAGGCCAATTTCTAAGCCTGTTTTACATTTTTTTTTATATATATTTTTTAAATTTAATAATCATTTGTTCAAGACTTAAGACAAAGACATTTGCCTGGCTACATTTACATCTTTTTTTTAGGATGTTTAGGGTGGGTAATCTGATATTACCAAAATAATTGACTACAACACAATAAAATTACACTTACTTAATTAAATGACTAAATAAATGTTTTGAGCCATGTACTGTTGGCCACTGACTTTACAGAGGAAATAAGTCAGAGAGCATAGACACATTTTTAGCCAATAGAGGGAGACAAAGTTAATGAATTTATACTCTGATGTGATTCAAGACCAAACAAAGTAGTTTCGCTTTCACAACGAAGCACACAGCATCTTCACGACATGGCTGCAGCGTCAACAAAACTACAGTGAGAATAAAAGTTGCGCCTTCTTTCTTTGCGTGAACATTTGGGCGGCGTTATGCAAATTTTCCCACATAGTGAGGAAGATATGTGGGGGCGTGTTAGAACGAGACGTTTTAGGTAAGTGTGGCTGACTCTGAACTTTTATAAAGAATATCTCTTTGGATTTGAGACTTTAGTCTTTGCAACTTTACAGATCTTCTTTATGCACCAAGAGCTTGTAACACTCCAAAGAGAAAGGAAAAATTTAAATCGCATCATATGACCCCTTTAAGTTTGGGCACTGCTTTATCACTTCCGATTTGAGTTAGGTTATTTTGGGATTATTACTATAAATTTTTTTTAATAAGAAAACTGCAAATTACATGTAGAGGTTTGTACTTATTTTTTACCCACTTATAGAATCAGATACATAATAATCAACTGCGGCGTGCAGAACTAGAAGCACGAAATCTACAGGAGCGACTGCAGGTTTTGACCAACCAGAACAAGATGTTGCATGCTGAGCTGCAGGAGACAAAACGGAAACAGGCTGAAATAGAGTGCAAGGTTAGTCACAGTCAACCCAACAGCTTGGTGCAAAAATATAGACTTTATCTAAATAGATTATATAGCATTATGATTTATGAAGTATATTTCTCTTTATTCTAGTTTTATGAGTACACCTTTTATTCTATTAGTAATCTGTCAAAATGTAAAAAAAAAATGATACAAAAAAGCAAAATATACCTCTAATTAACACATCTTCGTATGATTTGGTTACATTTCCTCATTCATGACTTAGCTTTAAATAGGGTTTAGTAGTTCCTGTTTCAGCGCTTCAGTTTGAGAGCAGCAGTAGATGCTGAGTGTGTTTCTGCTCTCAGCTAAGCATACAAAAATAAGCCATTCAATAGAAGCTGAATATACAGTATAAGTATGTTCACAGTGGTTTCATTTCACTTTTTTTTCCCTCTCTTTCAAACAGAATAAAGAAGAGGTAATGGCAGTGAGATTGAGAGAAGCTGACAATATTGCTGCCATGGCTGAGCTTCAGCAGCAGATCTCTGAGCTTGAGATTCAGGTACAAATAAGTACAGAATTCACCGCACATTACATTACAATTCAGTCCTATCACAGCTAGGGATGCAGCGATTAACCGGTTTCGCGATTAACCGTGCTTTAAAACGTCACGGTTAATTAATCGTGAAGGTTCTGCTAAACCGACTGTTTCTGTTACACGGAACGGAACTGTTGCAGCTTGCGCAAAACTAAAAAAGTTACACTAGTGGTGCACCAGCTTAAAATGACGTGCTTATCAGAGGCACGGAGGCTAATGCATATACAGATTAACTGTGACAGAGGGACCAAACAGCGAAGCTTCATTTCCACCAGAGAAATGCCTGTCAATAGTGTGGGACCATTTTGGGTACACCAAGAATGACCAGGGTGTCGTTTAAATATTGCTGTAAAAAAACTGCTGCTATAGAGCGAATACATAAGGGATAATACATGGCTAGCTGTACATTGAACGATTTTAATGCACGACGTGAAGGCAAAAACCACCTGACGCGAAGGCTACAGCTCGTTAGCTCCACATTCTGCCCGCTTCAGATCAGAGAGAGATGAAATAATGCGGTAATTATTTATTACACGGTAATGTAATTGATTATAACATTTAGCTACTTGAATTAATTAAAAGAGAGAGAGAAAGAGAGAGTGACAGTTGCCTGTGTGAATTAGCCTACCTGCATCTGTGCGTCTCTCCTGTAGGCTATTTAATCTATTTTATTAATAAAAGTCACGGGGCAGCATTCTCAAGAAGTTTGTTTCCTCCTGAATGTTTGTACACGTGCGCAGCGGGATCTCCGATCTCACAAACCAAAATAATAGACATGGTTTTCTCAGGCCACATGTAAAATCATATGAATTATTATAAAGATTATTAAAATGAATAGGCTACGTATGGATGACAGTTGATTACAATATTTCAGTTTATTTCCATCATTAGTAACAGTTTCCCCTGTGGGACAAATAAAGTATATTAGTCGTATATTTATAATAGGCTACTTCATTAACTTTGTTATTTACTACCCCTGTTGTAGTATTATTCATAAGTAAAAACCAACAATATTTTTTTTCACCATGTTTCCAAAGTCTCTACCCCAGGTCCAAAAGAGTTGTAAAGAATGTACAAACTGAAAACAAATACTTTTGCAATCTATTTCCATTTGTTATTTTCAAAAGAGAAATACTGTCATGGATGTTTACAGAGCAGAGGTCACCTTTTTTAAATTCCAATGGGAGAGATGGACTTTTGTTTGTCTTTTTTATTATTATTTTTTGCTGTATTGTTGTTTACGGTGTTATTTCTGTTTCAAAAGCCAGCAATAAATAACACTTTAATATCTAAAGAGTGTTCATATGATTTTATACATTAGTAATGTTGGGAAATGAATAAATGCATAATAATTGTCATAATCGTAAAACCGTGATTATTCCTCCGACAATAATCGTACCAACAAAATCTATAATCGTTGCATCCCTAATCACAGCCTAACACAGCACAGTCTATCTGTCCAATCCAGGACATCAGTCTCTCCATAGCACAGCTGCTTGAAGCTTTTTGTCTCTTAGCTTCTAGAATACCTATTAGATTTTTACATTTGCAATGTGATCAAATCTTTATACTGTCATAGCATTTTTGCTTGTCCACATAGTTTGGTTCTTGTGACATATTTAAACGATAGTGTGCAAATAAGGGTTTGACTTAGGGATTCTTTGTGAACTCCTTTGTGAACACAGTTCTCCTGAGCATGCAGTTTTTAGGTAAGATTGGGGTATTTATGTATAAAAGGCTCCATTCTTTTCTTTTGTTTTAAAAAAAATTTCTTGATAGATTTGGTAAGGTATTTGGTTGTTGTAATCAAATAATTTTGACTGATGTACCCAAATCCTTTATAAATAGTACACAATATATATTAGATGGCTTAAAATCACTTTAAAAGCAGTTGCTTAGTTACTGTTGCTGATATTAGTTACAAATAACATCTAAAAAAAAAAACCTATAGAATCCAATAGTAAGATGTGTGTACACTTCATGTAAATCAGTTGAAACTTACTGTAATTTATGCAGCTTAAGCATTACCGTAAATAGAGCCATATATATATGTTGACCGTGATTGAAACACAGGTGTGTTTTGATTTGAGGGAAAGATTATATTAGTAAGATTTACTGGATTAAAGTGAGAAGTGAGACAAGCGTTTGATCTTTTTGGAGAAAGCGCGTCTGAAAAGCTTGCGTTCCCCATGCAGGAAGCCAAATCATTTTAAAGATTAGGTCAGTATGTCATCAGTGCTGTTTTATATTAGTGTGGGGGTGTTTGACTTTCCTTCCTGAGACCGATATAAACTGGGCTTTTTTTGTATTCAAAACTAAATCTCACCTTTATGAGAGTGTGTTCATTTCTGTCACAAGCTTTTCTCTTCAGCACTTTCTTTTACTTTTCTATGAAGTTTGATGTTGGTCAGTCTGCATCATCTCATTTTGCTGTTTATGACAAAATCATGACAATTATGACAAAAATCATAATTGTCGATTATTCCCTTGAAATTGTAATTGCGATTATTAATTACGATTATCACAATTTACATTGAATGATGTTTATACCATTGTTTGATGCAACTGCATGCCGTATTTTTTAATATGAAAATAAACAAGCTGAAAACACTCTAACTGAAAAACTTTTAGTGCTTTTCTATAGTATTAAGCCTCAGATGTCAACTATACAGCGGATTGGTTTCTTTAAATTATAAAAAAGTAAAAATATGAATGGTATTATAATGTTATACTAAAACTAAAATTAAAATAATGGGAAAAACCCTTAAGATAACACGTAGAAAGAAAAAAGCGCATCTTAAGCACGCAGAATAACATAAGTGGACTTTGAACGATTAATTGACGCTTTGAACGATTTACGTAATTGTGGCATCCATAATTGTAATCACTATTAGAAGTTCAATTAATTGTGCAGCCCTACTTTCCTAGATGTAACTTGAGAGTGTTGTATATTGCTACATGCGTGTGAGTGATTTTTTTTTTTTGTGTGTGTGCTGAAATTGCATCAGCTTGCTATTTATCAGATTAGACAAGCATGCTCCTCTCAGGCATGTGCAGCTCTTAGCTGTGGTTCTGTGGTTTTGGCTACCTACATACATGGTTTTTACCCTGAGGGCTGTGGGCAACAGATCTGGCTCACCATATTTTAATTCACTTTTAGGCTGTTGGCAAAAGACAGTGAAGATGAGAATGAATGAAAGAAAGAAATAAACTGCCCATGAACACCATCAAATAAAAGCTCATTTTCATGATTGAAATCTATTTTAATTTAGGCAGATAAAGTTAATAAATGCAGTTATAAGTTCCACACAATGTATTTATTAATGCTGTTAATAAATTTATTTTACATTATACATTCTGTTCTGTGTTTACAAAGAAACTGTTTAAGGTGGTTTGTAGCTGATAGGAATCGATCAGATCTGCCCGTTTATCAGTAAATCATGATGGACACCCTCATTATGGTATTTAATATATACTAAACAAGCACAGCAGTTTAGCAGCCTCATTACGCATTTAAGATTAAATCCATAAAGTGCTGAGCGAAATTGTATTGTTTATCGCAGGCTCAGAGTCGTGCGTTTTGTTGTGTGTTTTAATGCAGTTTTTGGAAATAGTCTTTTTTTTTTTTTTGTGCAAGTAAACAGCGCTGTTGCAAATTTACGCTGTTTTTCTTCCATAAAAATTGCCACATATAACAGTTCCACAACCAAAAATAATATTAAACGGCTATAAATATTGATTGATGGGCCTAATTTAAATATGTTCTGAAGCATTTCGAAATTGCATCTCTATTCATCATTGTTACCGATTTAGCACCAAAGCGATAATTTATTCGCTCACCTTTCGCCCACTCTTAACTTGACATGTCCCATTGCTGGAAAATATAACACCATGATGTCACCATGTATGAGTATGGTTTTTATTTTCAGTGGAAAGATCCACTATAAAGTGAATGTACAGGTCTGTCTGACACCAACACACTAACCCAACTCCCCAGCATACAGGAGATGTAGACACCTTTCTGAACACCCACACAACGTTTCAGAGCCGAGTCTGTTAATAGTTATTGTGACTGACATGCAAGTAAGACTGAATGAAGCCTTCACAACAAAAATGCAGAGCATCAGCATTACTCCTCCTCTGCATTATGATCTCTTGTCTAACTTAGAGTGGCGTGAAGTGGGTTTTTTTTTGTTTTAACACCTAGCTGAGCTCAGGGTTGAAATGGCTGCTTGCATGGCCCATGGGACCACAGCTTAGCTATCTTCATTACTAGATGAGAAACCACTTCCTATCAGGCAGAGAAACACATTGAGCTATAATCAAAGCTCACATTTTGCGTTATGCTTTGCTGCTCAGCATTCATATGATCTATTGTAACAGAGTGATTTAGCTTGGCAGATGCATGCATAAACGTGAACAAAGAAAGAGCAATAGAGAAATCTCAGTACTATACTAATGCGTTGCTGCAGAGAGGAACAATGACACTTGGTAGAAGAGTTTCAAATCACCAGCATCTGAAACACTGAAGTGACCGTTTTTGTTGCCATGCCAACCTAATATAGAACAACAAATGTCCTGATCATTTTATAATTTTAATTAAGTATTCATCAGGATATGTGACTGTTGGAGGCATTGCGTTTTGTTTGAACGTTTTAACAAATACACAGTTTCTAGTCAATATCTGATCTGCTAAGTTCATTGTAAACTTACAGGTAAAAAACATTAAATAGAATATTTAAAATTTTTACATTTAGCATTCATCAAATGTTAAAAAGGAGCAGTGTCACAACAGCGTTTGTTCCGTCAGATAAGAATTGCTCAATTTCACGAAGTAAAATCTTTCACAGAATCAGGCCAACAGTTCAACTCTAATACTACAAGTTCATTAGCATCATCATTTGATCGAGTCATTGTGGCTCAGTTCTGTTCTGCTTTTTTGTGTGAAACGGTTATGCTGTTTA